TCTTCTGCTTCTTAGTGTTGCGTTTTTTAATAAAACCAACACGGCAAACAGATAAAGCAAATAACCATCCGTAGTGTGGATGGCAACATTTGCTTAAATCATGGTCTGCCATGTTCTGACCGCAGAGCACACTCCATCACGGGTAAGATCCATGCCATGAAAGTTAGTCAGTTTTTGTCCTGAGCATTCTCAGTAGTTAGCTTGAATTTTCTAAATGCAACTTTGTCATTCTGCAGATTAGGAAAGCGCATTCAAACACATGACCCTTGAGGCTATCAGTGCAATTTTGGGTCCCTGAGTGCTCATTGACCAGTGCTTTTCCAATAATTCTTATACCAAACAAAGCTGGTGTGTGCACATCATACCACTCCTAGAAAATAGAACAGCACTTTCTTCTTGGCTCCTTTTTTGCCATGTCTTATAAGGTGGTTGTTACTGCCAACCACTTGGGTGCTGCTCAGAAAGCTGAAAGCGTGGAAGTGCAACATCAGGAGAATTCAGGCATGGGGGCAAGGAATGCAAGTTTAATTAGGGCGTCCAGACAGGGTCTCATCAAGAAAGAGATATTTAAGTGAAAGGTTTTGAGTCAAGGAGCAACATAATTTAATTTATATTTTAACATTATAGTCTGGCTGTTTGGAATAGACTGAAAAAGGCAAGAGAATATAGGGAGATCAGGGCAGTCTAAGTGGGAAATGATGGAGGTGAACTTGTTTACCTGTTGCTGCAAACTGGTGGGTTAAAATAGCACATTTATTCTCTTACAGTTCTGGAAGCCAGAAGCCTAAAATAGGTTTCACTGGGCCAAACCCAAGTTGTTAGCAGGGCTGTTCTCCCTCTAGAGTCTCTGCAGGGGAATCTGCTTCCTTGACTTTTCAGCCTCTGGATTTGTTGCATTTGTTGACTCGTGGCCTCTTCCACCTTCAAGGCCAATGGTATATTGTCTTCAAATCTCTCTCTGCTCCTTCCTTACATCATCTTTTCTCTTTTGGTCCAAATCTCTCTGCCTTTTGGTTGTTGTTACGTTCAGGGCCTGCCCAGATAACCCAGGATAATCTCAAGATCTTTCCTTAGTTTAATCCCATCTGCACAGTCTCTTTTGCCATATTCACAGGTTCTAGGGATTGGGACCTGGATATCTTTGGGGGTTGTTATTCACCTCATCAGAAGAGGCTTGGATCAGGGTAGAAGTGATGGAAATGGTGAGAAATGAGCAGATTCTTGGATTTGTTTTGAAGGTAGGGTCAATTAGATTACCTTATAGACTGAATGTAGGATGTGAGAGAAAGAGAGAAATCAGAGTTTCTAGTTATTGAAATGAAAAGGACTATAGGAAAAGAATTTGGCTGGGGGAAGGGTTAATGTATCTATTTATTTATGTTAGCAGGTCCAGGGGCTCATATTAAATTTAAGGTTAAGTTTGGGATCCAAGTGGGCAAATTGAGAAGACAGCTGACTTGGAAGCCTTTAAAATGTGTCTTTGAAACTTTGAAATTAAATGAAATCATTTAATGGAAGTGTAGATAGAAAGAAATAAAGGTCTATGGGGGTAGGGTGGGAAGGACACCCAGCCCCTGGCGAGATGAGACTGATGGCGCCAAAGGTAGACCTCACCAACTCTAGCACTTAGTACCTCCTTGCCCTCCAAACACACACAAATACCCATCATCACATCCATGTCCCAGTGTCTGGCCAAAGGAGCATAGAGTGTCTGCAGCCTCTGGCCTGAACCCCTGCAGAGGTGCCCCAAAGCTGTGGGTCTTGTCTCATAAACTCTCCCTCCCTCAATCCATCTGTGATTCCCAGGAACAGCCTGTCACCTATTCCTGGGAAAGGAAACCATCTCAAGCATCAAGGTCTCCATCTGCTTGCCACCCACGGATCAGCCCAGCACAGTCATTGACTGGGTGCTCAGATCATTAGGTTCTGGGTGGGGAGCAGCAGCTGCACTAATGCCACTCACAGGAGGATTCCCCCATGAGCACTGACAGCTACTCAGAGCCATTATTTTCATGCCTTAAACTAGAATACTTCCTTTAGGTAGCCCCATTATCATATACGTCATACATGAAACAGCTATCAGGCACTCAGAATTGACATGAAGGCAGAGCCTACATTTTGCAGTCTCCAACAGATAGTTTTGAAACATCTGCATAACCAGGCAGCTTAGGAATCTCCATGTTTACCAGCTTGGATAGGTTTTCTCATTTCCCCTTCCCTCCCTTCTCTTTTACCCTCTCCTCTCCTCCATTCCCTTTTCTATCTCTTTCACTCCTATATCAATTTCCCCGGAGTTTTAATTTAGTACTTAGACCACTGGTTCTCAAATTTGCCTATTGGCATCACCTGAGGAATTAAAAAAGATACTGATGCCTGGGTCCCATTCCTATTATTAATTGATAATGGGTGTGAACTGGGCTTTGGAATTTTTAAAAGCTCTTCACACGATTCTGATATGCAGCCAGATCTGAGAACCAGTGTCTCAGTAGTGAATCCCAGTGGCCATATTCTAAAAGTTGCAGCTAAAGGAACTGACTAAGCCCAACTCCCTGCCCTGCCTCCCCTTGTCATTCCTGGTTTATAGGACAAAGGATTCGGTGCCAGTTGACCTGATTCGAGCATCACCAATAGCAGCAGCATGTTGTGTAATGCTCTCTATCTTCCAATGGCACAGCCCGGGGGGCTCTCATATTCTATGTCTAGCTTTTCAGTTCTTTCCATAACTTCTCTTTTAGGACACTTTTGGCCAACTTTTTATTTGAGCAGCATTAGAGTTCAGGCTGCAATTCTAGGTCCAGTTGTAAGGAATGAAG